AGATCAAGATGCAAATCTTTATTAATGAAGAAGTAACAAAAAAAAAAGCTATGACTGTCCCCTCAGGGCTGCTTCAAAGTGCTATCATGGAGAATTCCATTGTATTTTGTAATAACTAACTGGATCTTTCCTTAGATAATGTGTGTATGTGTGTGTGTGTATTCATTTTGACTTAGCTTTTAACTTTAAAGGTAGAGAGTCAGCCTCAGAGTTAGGAAGAAATGGATTCTGGTCCCTCTTCTTATGCATAAGTGGCTATGTGACCTTCGGCAAGTTCTTTATGCAACTTTCTAAAACTGTCAATTGCAGAGGTGCCAACCTACATTGGTAGAGAAGAGTTCCTTATACTAATGAAGTCATAAGCCCAGTCCTTATTTCTGTCTCTTAACTTTGTGCTAAGTGGGATTAGAAGAAACTAGGCTGACACCACGATTTTACATGAGGGTCTGAGAAAAATTCTTTTTTCCCAAGAAAAAGGGCCTTAGTCTGGGGAGTTCCATTGTAACTCTTACCAAAGGCACACAAGCAGAACTCTAAGCATGTAGTATGCACTTAATAAACACTCAGTGTCTGAAATGAATTGCCATTGGTAGGGGAGATATCCTCAGTAGGAGTTCTGTGCATCTAAGAAATCAAAGGTCTAGATCTAGATCTAGATCTAGATCATTTTAGACATTTATTGAGAACTAGAGAGCCAATGTGGAATAGGGCCAGCTGTTGAATCAGAAAGACTTGAGTTTAACTCTTATCTACTAACTGTGGGCAAGTCCCAATTGCTTCAGGCAACTCTCTAAGGATATAAAATAAAGATGTGCAGTTTCAATAGAGGAAGGGTCCACACTGGGAATTATCTACAGAGATGAAATCATAGGTCTAGACCCTTGTGCCACACCCCCGCCCAAAAGAAAAATATTTTAAATTCCAACATTTTTTGAGACCTTAGAGCAGTAGTACTCTCAAATCTCAATGGAGGCTACTAATTTGTACATAAGGATTCTTGCAGGCCATATGTAAAATGTAATTTCTGTATTTTATTGTATTTTATTCATTTTGTTAAATATTTCCCAATTACATTTTAATCTGGTTCAAGCTGTACTCGGGAATGTTGTGGGCCTCATGTGGCCCATGGACCATGTGTTTTATACCTTTGCTGTAGAGGGTACATAACAATAACACTTTGCCTTTTTATAGCTCCTTAGTTTAGGCTACCAGTACATAAATTCTCTTGTTTTCTTTTTAGAATAACTGTTCTTTTTTATAAAAATCAGGTTTTCTCGAAATCAGAAACGATTCCAGGAACAAAATCAGAGCCAAGAGGAAGCCCAGAAGGTAAGTATTTAGAAATCTTATATACAGATGATCTTTTAACATTTTCAGAATGCATTAAGTGCAGTGGAAAATATTTGGGGGATCAGGGACTTGGGTTCAAATCCCTCTTGGGTGAGTCACTTAAGTTTTTTTTTTTCTTAAACCTTAAGATAAAAAGGATTGGAGTAGACATTGTCTAAGATGCTTACCATTACAAAATAGTCCTTTGATCCTCTGACATCCTATATTTTCCCTAAGAAGTTTATTAGTACCTTAGGGTTACCTTTCTGTGCTACAAAGAAATTTTTTGCTGTAACCATCTCAGCAGGCCAAGGAAGTATTTATCCTTGCAGATAATAAAAGGTGATTAACATAATAATCTCCTTAAGGCAACTGCTCAAAAAATGACCCTCTCCCAACACCGTTAGGGGAACATTTGATACCTGTTTTTGAAGTTGTTGTTTTTAACTAAACTTAAATTTTCATGTGTTTGTTTCCAGAATAACTGTGAGCCTTCTGCTCCATCCTGTGATTTACTTGACCTAAGTCCGTCTCCAAGCTCTATGACTTCTGGCTTGCCATTGGAAGGAGTCCACGCCATGAGTTCTCAATTTTCTGGCTTAAGTAAATGAATGTTCCATTTTGTTCAGACCAATCAAAGAAAAGATTCTGGGTGGGTAGATAATTAAATGCTACCTGAGAAGGAATAAAATCAAGTGGAGACTCCAGTCCTATATCAGGAGACCTCTGTTCTTTTCCACCTTATACAAGGGTTCTTAACCTGGGGTCTGTAAACTTGGATTTTTTTTTGCTTATTTTTATATTTTGATGACTCAATATAATTGGTAATCCTTTCTTCTATGTATTTTATGCATTTAAAAACATTCTGAGGAGGGGTCTGTAACACAAAAGAGGTTCAGAACCCCTGATCTAATGGGTAAATCTTTGCTAGATGACAACGGGACGTGCCTCTGGGTGGAAAGGGTAGCCAAAAGTATTGGGAAATTTTTGGAAGTGGGGCTGGAGAGCATTGGGGTTGGTAAGCTGAGTTCCTTGAATTTCTGCTCAATAATTGGTGCCCTCCCCATGGTATCTGACAAAATTTGCCAGGCTTTTTTCAGAGGCTGTGCAATGTCATTTCCACTCCTGTAGTTCTTCTAAACAGCACCCTTTAGCTTTCATTCTTAAAGTTTATCTAGGGTTTCTAATAAGCCATCTTCCAATCCTTGTCTGTCTTGGCCAGTATTTTATCACAGAAGTGAGTTGCTTCTTGCAGTTTTTAACAGTGCCTGAGCCCTTAACATATAGTTTGGCACATAGTAGTCACTCAATAAATGCTGGTTGACAGATTTCAGCAGTACTGCAGTATAAGTTTAGGAAATAATTGGTACAGGAAGAGGCAAGAAAGAATGCAAGTATTCCAAGTTGATTACAGAACAAAGCATGATAGACTATCACAATTAGGGAAGAGAAGACAACGCTAATAATAATAATAATGATGATAACAGGATTAGCCATGATAATAGCTAGCATTTATGTAGCACCTACTATGTGCAAGGCACTATGCTAAACACTTTACAAATATCTCATTTGATCTTCACAACCACCCTGGGAGTTAGGTGCTATTATTATCCCCGTTTTACAGTTGAGGAAACTGAGACAGACAAGAGAGATTAAGTAACTTGGTCACAAAGCTAGGAAGTATCAGAGGCTAGATTTCAACTCGGGTCTTCCTGAGTCCAGGCTTAGCAGTCTATCCACTGCACCACCCAGCTGCTTCTAGATCACATGCATAGTTCCACCCCACTTTTTTGGTTGTTTTTAAGGAATTTGAGGATTTAAGAGGGAAAAAAATGAAGAAAACTCCTAAAATACAGGACTGAAAATGCCTATCTGAAACCATTGTGTTTTTTCTCTTATGCCCCAAGGTTTTTCCAGAGCCAAAACACTCCATATAATTGATTTGGGGTTAGCATTTTTTCCAGGAGTTAGGTTTTCTTCTAAGGAACAGTGCTCAAACTGGATTGCACTTAAATTAAGCAAAAGCTATTTCTTCCCATTCATGATATGTTGCCTTCTTTCTTCTGTTGAACAGTGGGGCATTAGATGAATCATGAAGGAAAGAAGAGAAGTCTTTTTTGGTGTGTGAAGTTTTTAGATGAAGAAAGAAATTTCTCCCATGAGGGGCTCAGCTCAGTCATGTCTCGAGAATGTTTAATAGCTTGTCAGTCAGACACGTTAGAACACCGTGTGCCACCAGTAAGACTTTTGTAGTATTCTGTTGATGCACAGAGCAGGGAATGTAAACTCCTTTTACCTACCTGCACATATTTGGGAATTTTTTTTCCAAATTCTGGTATCTTTTAGCATTGAAATAACCTTATTTTTGTTCTTAGCCAGCAAAAAAAAAATGAAGTTAGAGTTGCCCAGTAGAAGGAATATTGGTTCTGGAGTCAGAAGAACTGGGTTCAAATCTCACCTCTGATCTTTACTCACTGTGACCTTGGGGAAATCACTGAGCTTCTCTGGGTCCCATTTGTAAAATGAAGGGGTTGGGCTACAAGGCCTTTGAAGTATTTTCCATCTGTAGATATGTGAGCCTTTGATCCTAAATATAATATTTCAAAGAGTTTTTCATGGTTTTATACCAAGGTTAATCTCCAGATATCCACCTTTAAAGTAGGTATTTTATATTGTGGAGAAGCCATCCAAATGACTGACTAAAGAAGGGTATTCTTGACTAAGCAGTAGTTGTGAAATAAGTCTCTTTTACCTTTTAGATGTCAGCTCTCCACGTTCCTCTGATGCTGACCACTCAAACCCTGTGTGTCACTCACAGATGGATTTACTGGCCTTGGAGAATCCAGAAATATCCCTGTAAGTACTGTATGAGAATCTTGAAACTGTCAGAAAGCACCCATTGCCTTTGTTATGGTGGGCCAACAACTGGGAACCTCACGTATGTCCTGGACCCAGATGATTTCTTTCACGTCACTTTTCTGACAAGAGCACACTGTTGTGGCCCACTTATAGCACACCAGGTATCTTTCCATTGACTTTTGGCTTATTTATGATTTTGATTCAAGAGTGTGAAATTCCATGATTTGTATAACCAGTGTGGGTGAGAACAAATGAAAACCATTACTGAAAAAGGTGGACTTTAGCAAGGAGCAGTTTGGGATCATGGAGAGCCCTGTGGACTACCATGTCAAGTGATC